TGCCGCCGCGACAGGCACCAACAACCTTACGTCCGCAGCTCCGATAAGCCGCCTCGCCAATGGAGGCACGGAACATGGTCCATTCAGACTCATGGCAGCCCTAATACCGATATATTGTGCATCCCTAGTTTTCATGACTTGTTGCTGACTTGTGATGACTTGTTTTTGATTTGTGATGACTTGTTTTTGATTTGTGATGACTTGTTTTTGATTTGTGATGACTTGTTTTTGATTTGTGATGACTTGTTTTTGATTTGTGATGAGTTGTGCTCAGATTCACATCCGTCTGCGTCTCTCCTCAGACGGTGACGTCATTGTGTCACATGCACGGCAGCAGGTTTGGCTACGCGCTGGCTAACGGTACGGTCGGAGTCTACGACCGCACGGCTCGCTACTGGAGGATCAAGGTGCCTCAGTCCTTCACGTTTAACGTTTATTCGTACAGAATCTGCTTTATGTTTTCATTTTATTGAAGGAAACTTGTGATGTTTTCAGTCTAAGAACCACGCCATGAGCATCCACGCCTTCGACCTGAACGCTGACGGCGTGGTAGAGCTCATCACCGGCTGGTCCAACGGAAAGGTCGGCGCTCGCCTCAGATCCCTGCTAACATTAGAGTTTAACCCTTTCCTGGTTTGCTGCTAACGCTCCACGCTCCCGCCAGATCGACGCCCGGAGCGACCGCACGGGCGAGGTCATCTTCAAGGACAACTTCTCGTCTGCTGTCGCCGGCGTGGTGGAGGGGGACTACAGGTGCGACGGGCAGAAACAGCTGATCTGCGCCTCCACGGAGGGAGAGGGTGAGTCCTGCTCACCTGTGGGGGTTCACCTGCGCACTCAGAGCTCTTTGATCACGACGCGTGTCTCGTAGTTCGGGGTTACCTGCCTGCCAGCAAGGACCTGAAGGGGAACCTGATGGACTCCAGCGCCGAGCAGGACCTGGTCCGAGAGCTCAGCCAGCGCCGGCAGAACCTGCTGCTGGAGCTGCGTAACTACGAGGAAAACGCAAAGGTGGACGTTTTTATTCCCATTCAAATAAAACTGGTTTAAATCTCAGTTTTCATGAGGCTAAATGTTACAGACGGGGGGGCGGGGCTTGTTTCAGGGTGTACCTCAGACAAACAGTGGGATGGGGGTCATACCTGCCAACACTCAGCTGCAGACCACGCTGTCCGTCAGACCTGCTACAGAAGCCCAGAAGGCTCACGTAGAGCTCAACATTTCAACACCAAATGGTACTTTTCCCAGCAGGCTTTGCACTGACGGTCTCTGACTGGTCTCTGACTGGTCACTGACTTGTCTCTGACTGGTCTCTGACTGGTCTCTGACTGGTCTCTGACTGGTCGTTGACTCATCTCTGACTGGTCACTGACTTGTCTCTGACTGGTCACTGACTTATCTCTGACTGGTCACTGACTGGTCTCTCTGGTCACTGACTGGTCTCTGCGTCTCTGACTCGTCTATGACTCATCTTTGACTCCTCTTTGACTCCTCTTTTAATTGTCTCTGACTGGTCTCTGACTTGTCTCTGACTGGTCTCTTACTTTTCTCTGACTCATCTCTTACTGGTCTCTGATTTGTCTCTGACTGGTCTTTGACTCATCTCTGACTGGTCTCTGACTTGTCTCTGACTGGTCTCTGACTCATCTCTGACTGGTCTCTAATTTTTCTCTGACTGGTCTCTGACTCATCTCTGACACGTCTCTGACTGGTCTCTGACTCATCTCTGACACGTCTCTGACTGGTCTTTGACTCATCTCTGACTGGTCTCTAATTTGTCTCTGACTGGTCTCTGACTCATCTCTGACATGTCTCTGACTCATCTCTGACATGTCTCTGACTGGTTTCTGACTCGTCTCTGACTGGTTTCTGACTTGTCTCTGACTGGTCTCTGTCTCCTCTCTGACTTGTCTCTGACTGGTCTTTGACTCGCCTCTTACTGGTCTCTGATTTATCTCTGACTGGTCTTTGACTCATCTCTGACTGGTCTCTGACTCGCCTCTTACTGGTCTCTGATTTGTCTCTGACTGGTCTTTGACTCATCTCTGACTGGTCTCTGACTTGCCTCTTACTGGTCTCTGACTGGTCTTTGACTCATCTCTGACTCGCCTCTTACTGGTCTCTGATTTGTCTCTGACTGATCTCTGACTCATCTCTGACACGTCTCTGACTGGTCTCTGTCTCCTCTCTGACTCGTCTCTTACTGGTCTCTGATTTGTCTCTGACTGGTCTTTGACTCATCTCTGACTGGTCTCTGACTCGCCTCTTACTTGTCTCTGATTTGTCTCTGACTGGTCTTTGACTCATCTCTGACTGGTCTCTGACTGATCTCTGACTGGTCTCTGACTGATCTCTGACTGGTCTCTGACTCGCCTCTTACTGGTCTCTGATTTGTCTCTGACTGGTCTCTGATTTGTCACTGACTGGTCTTTGACTCATCTCTGACTGGTCTCTGACTTTCCTCTTACTGGTCTCTGACTTATCTCTGACTGGTCTCTGTCTCCTCTCTGACTCTTCTCTTACCGGTCTCTGACGTTTCTCTGACTCGTCTCTTATTGGTCTCTGACTCGTCTCTTACTGGTCTCTGACTTATCTCTGACTGGTCTCTGACTCATCTCTGACTTGTCTCTGAGGGTCTTTGATCTCCTGTAGAAACTATCATCCGAGCCGTCCTCATCTTCGCTGAGGGAATATTTGAGGGGGAAAGTCACGTCATACACCCCAGTGTCCAGAACCTGTCGGGCTGCGTCCGCGTCCCCATCATCCCCCCTAAAGACATCCCGGTGGACCTGCACATCAAAGCCTTCGTTGGAGGGAAAACTAGGTGGGGTCAGAGTCTCAGTCTTGAACAACACATCATCTGAGTTTCTAACCTGGTGGTCTCTGCTCCTCACAGCACGCAGTTCCATGTGTTTGAAATCACACGCCAGCTGCCCAGGTTCTCCATGTACGAGCTAACGGACGAGTCCTCCGCCCCTCCACCCACAGGAAGAGTGTCCTTCAGCATCAACGAGCGGCCGCAGAGGGTGGGCGTCCACAGCGAGAGACAGGACCGTGTGGTTCTGACCCGTTTCACTGTTTCAGGGTGTCTTTGTGTTTGCAGGTGGTGATGTGGCTGAACCAGAACTTCCTTCTTCCAGAGGGAGTCGAGAGTCCAAACGTCACCTTCATGTCCCTCAGAGGAAGTGGATTAATGTCCTTTAATATGTCCACTAATGGACAGGTAGACTGTAACATCTGAATGGTTAGCTTTGACTGTTGGTGTTCAGACCAGCAGAGACAGAGATCATCAGAGGGACAGGACAGGTTGAAGGACTGAGAGACAAGGTTAGAGAGACCAGATTGTGATGGTCCTGAAGGTATACTGGTTTGGACATGTCCAGTGGGACAGTGGGTATATTGGTTTGGACATGTCCAGTTGGACAGTGGGTATATTGGTTTGGAAATGTCCAGTGGGACA